AAGGACCTTTGGAAGTTGCTGAAGGTAAAAAGGATACTGTGTTCTCTTTTGGAAACAGCTCATTTCATGTGTTCTTTTCTGTGTACATCTGATCTGTTCTTGATTATATATGTGCCTTTGCTTATGTGATGTAAATGTTTCTGTTTCTTAGTCGAAGCTGTTGCTGATAGGGACTGCCTGCTTAGAGAAAAAAGAGGAAGAATAGGATACCTGTGTGCTGTGCACATTCTGTCTTTGGGCTTCTAGGTGCCACCATAACTTACAGCAGGCTGATTAATTTATCTTAGGCAATTTCTGTCTGTGGGAGTCCAAAAATAAAGGAAACTTGTGCTGTCACCTATGTGCCATCTTTCCTGTCCTGTTTGTACCGCATTCCTTAGTGAGAATCAGAAACAGCTCTCAGTCTAACCTCTGAGGTTTAAGAACAGTGGTAGTTTACAAATTAACCTGTTTTATGAATATTTGATGCACTTTATAATCCAAAAAATTACCTTACTTTGAACACAAATAAAGATGTGATACGATCTTTAGAACTGGCATGCTTTTTGGAAAAGCAATCACTACTCTTCTCCCAGGCACTACAGCTACATTATAGAAATACAAATTACAGCAGAGCTCCCCTCACAGAAATACAAATTACAGCAGAGCTCCCCTCAGGTGTTTAACACATCTGTAGCAGTGAATTGTTTGGGACTTGAGATTATGCCATCCTTTGTGGAAAAAGTTAAACCAATTTATAGGAGTTGAAGGTGGCTGGAGGGCAGATGGAGAGAAGTTACAATATGTCTTCTAGTGCCTTATTTGCCTTAGTATCTCAATACGCAAACTAAATGCTTTAAACAGTCTAGTTTTGGAAATTCCCTAAATGAACAGCCTAGTTCCGTAATCTCAAATGACAGGGAAATTTTTGTACGAGATATTTTGCTTCACTTTTGCATCGAATCAAAAATATATGCTGTGACATCAATGTAAACTACTTTTCTCTGTCAGCATGGCTACCTAACTAGAAAATAGACTCCTGTTATGCCGTTAAGGCAGTCGCAGGAAAGAAGATAATCTTCGTTTAATAGATAGGAAAATGTATGCTCTCAAGCACTACGTTGTGTTGCTGTGTTTGAAATTGCCCCTTCTTACTGGTTTTGGGGCAAGTGATAATAAATGGTTGTTAATCACTGGAGATCCACTGCAGACACTTGAGCTCTCAGGATACGTGTGGTGTTTGCAGTCAGTTTGCTCCCTGTGGTTAAAGGCCTGGTGTTTCTCTTCTGGTTGAAATTTAGTAGCACAGTGAAGCATTAGACAGAATTCCTCTGTGATGGTGGGCAAGTGACTAAATCCAAGTTTTTCATCCTTGGGCTTTAATTGCACAGCTAATTTCAGGGTGTTTAACCTGAGATTCCCGAGACCGAGATTTCCAGAAGTGCTAATGGTCACAACTGCAACAAAAGCAAACTGGTGCCGTGCTGTGGACTCTGCAGGTCCTGGAGAAATATTAGGCTTTCTGAAAAATTAATCTGAGATTCCTAATTGGACATAACTGGCGGAGACTTTCAACAAACATCTTTGATTTTCATGTCATCTGAAATTACCAAGCTGTGGAGTGGGTCTAAATATTACTTCCTAACACTCTGGAGCTGTAATGATGATGCAGGATAGTTGTGCAAAGCATTCAGATAAGGCTATGACAGCAGTGCAGAAATGTCTCCTGGAGGATTAATGATACTGTGTTCAGTGCAAGGTTTTCATACTTTGCATAAAACAAATCCAGAGGCCATGCTGAATGAGAAAGCTAAAAAAATATTATTGAATAGCCGTGTGTTAACTAAATGAGCCCTGGGCTCTTTGGTCTCAAAGAAATAATAATTGATCACAAAAGTGATGATGAGACAGTCAAACTATGATTGCAAGTGAGCCATTGTGGCATAATTTAATTCGTAATGTATTTCTTTGGAGAGCTAATGTGATTAAGAAAGTACGTTGGATTGAGAGGTCATTGCAGGGTGGTTTTTATTCAAAACTAAATGTTATATTTTCATTTGTGTTAGCTGCACTTACTCAGTCTAGCGGCCTAGCTGCAAAGTTTGTCATCCACTGTCACATCCCACAGTGGGGCTCAGACAAATGTGAAGAGCAGCTTGAAGAGACCATAAAGAACTGCTTAACAGCCGCAGAAGACAAGAAGTTGAAGTCCGTGGCTTTCCCCCCGTTTCCCAGTGGCAGGTACGACTCTTTCTGCATACGAGGATTCTGTTTTGGGTAGCAATGGTATAATTAGCTATCAGAGAGCTGCTGCTGCTGAGATAGAGGTACTGTCTGGTCCGTGGCACGAAAGGGGCTGCCCCTGCCTCCCGAGGGGGCTCTGACAGGTGCCATCCGACACCGTGCTGCTCCAGATTAAAGGAGCTTGAAGTGCAGCGTTTGCATGGAATGACCAGAAAGCCTTTATATAGAGAAAGTAGCTAACCCACAGGAGAGCTGAGTGGACTTGCTGTGTTTTCTATTGCTAGGCAGTAATTTTCATTCTTCTAGTATGGGCCTGCACCGCCTCAGTCTATGTCGCTTCATTTTGCTGTGGTGAATCTTATTAAAACTACGTTTGTACTAATAAGATTATGCCAGCATGATACTGAAGGCAAGTTAACAGTGATGCAGCCTGAGCTGGGTAAATGTAGGGTCTTCACTGAAGTCATCCCGAGAATATATATTAAACAGACTAGTCACACAAAGTGCTTTCTTTCAAAAGAAAATATTTCTCAAATATAGCTCTGCTTTCAAAAGGGAACTATGAAACCAACTGTGAAAGTACACATTTCTTTCTCAATAACTAGCAAATAAAATGTGCTTGACTAAGAAATCCAAAGGGTTTTTTTGGGTTTTGTTTGTTTGTTTGTTTTTAAACTGTGAGTTTTTAATCATGCTTGGTCTGTGATCAGAAGAAACCTTACACAATCCCCACTAACTGCAGAAGTTGTTCTTTTGCGTTTACATGCTTATGTTTAATTTGAAATATAACTACTGATTTTTGTTAGTAATGCCCAAAGAGTAGAGTACATAGTAGAGTCCAGTTGTGTTGGGCCGGTAGTGAGTAAAATGAAAGTAAAACTGTGTTGTGATCAGCGAAATCACCACACGTCACTGAATACACAGGAAGTGACAGTGCCGTTTTTACACAGCCACTTTTCAAGACAAAATAGGATTTGTATGGATGAAGACAAAAGAAGAAATACAAGGGCAGTGCAATTTTTAATGATTTTTCTTCCTTTACACGCAGATCTTTTTGTTTATAGTCTTCAGTCAAAGCTTTTAGCTTTTCAGATTGTAGGTAAGAGAATATTACCGTCAAAATGAATGGATGAATGTGTCTTGGCCTTAATTTGGCTTGGGGTTGTAATTTCAATTATTTTCACTTAAGTCTCAAGCAAATTATTTTTAGTGACAGAGTGAGGAAGTCAGCAAATAGTTGATTTTTTTTGTTGTTTTTTTTTTTTTTCACTTTTCAACTAAAGAAATAATCATCCCTTGAACTTTATAGCATGCCCAGCATGGCATGGAAAAGCTTAATTCTAAGGGAGAGCGTTAAAAAACTGTGTGGCTATAAAAAGTAGAAGCAAATGAAAACAGTAGCTATGCCAGCAAGGAAATTAATACAGCAGCAGATGAGTATTGCTATGAAAACCTTGGGGTTTGCTTCTGGGATTTACCTACTGCAGAACTGCAACTGGCACTGTCTTAACAGCAGCCTGTAGTTGGTACCGCCGTGGTTCGTTGCTTTCAGCTTCACGTGTGCATGATGCTTGCACAAGTGGCTGACACTCACTTGTTCTGTTTTCTTCCCCTACCACATAGAAACTGCTTCCCAAAACAGACGGCAGCCCAGGTGACTCTAAGAGCCATTTCCACCCATTTTGACGGCACCAGCTCCTCCTCCTTGAAGAACATTTACTTTCTGCTCTTCGACAGTGAAAGTATTGGCATCTATGTGCAAGAAATGGCCAAGCTAGACACTAAGTAGCAACGGCAGCCAAATGAAACTTTTATTTTTCAACAAACTTGAGTAGCATTAAAAGCATTAGAGGTGGGTTTTATTTTTTCAATGTGATGAAGAGGGGGACTGGTAGTAGCGTGATGTGTTGTGACTTGATGAAGAGCTGTGACTAGAGATGAGAGGGGTTTAGTCTGATTTCTTCATGCTATCAGCATCCTCTAGCCACTTATATCACCTTAAGCGATTGAGTTACCATCTCTTTTCAGGAGTTTGTTTAGTGTCCCTTGTTGCTTTAGTTTAGAAGATTTTAAAGAGTAACCTCATTTTAGATTTGTAGTGATGAATTTTTCACACACACACACACATACACACACTCTTTAAAGAAAGCTCTTAAAAACGTTCTGCTCCCTTTTCCCCTCCCTTGAGGGCAGATGGTGAACTTCTGCCCCCAGCCTACAGAGGGGGGAAAAGGATTTTAGAAGTGATGCATGAGGAGCTTCTGTTTTGCTTTTAACTCACAATAATCTCTGTAATTACTGAGAATATTTCATGGTGATTTTGTTTGTTTTATAAGAAAAAAAGAAAAAGATGTGTCTAGTGTTGTTATTGTTACAAACCCTACTTTTACTCTGGGAATTTCTCACCTGAAAAAAAAGAAAAAAAGCAGCAGCATCTGTAATTAAGTGCTTGCTGTATCACACTTAGCACACAAGTAACCAGCTCTTCCAGCTGAAGTACAGTGCTACAAGTGACATAATTAAAGCTGCTGTTGAGATGTTGACACAAAGCTGCGTTATATTCTGTGGAGTTCCAGCCTCTTCAAGGCTTTCAGCAGGTCTTCCCCAGGCAGTGCTGCCAGCCATTCTTCCTCCACGCTGTGGAGAAGATTCCTAATCTGCAAGAGGCAGGTACTTTTTAGAAGAGCAAAAGTAGAGAAAGCCAGGGGGAAAAACCACATAACAAAGAAACCACAGATATTTTGAAAACCACAGTGTTTATTGTTACAAATCAAGGTAAATCAGGTTTCTTGCTCAGAGCTATCTCAACAAGAAAGTAAAAGAAACATTCCTTCCCTGGTTTTTATCATGAGGACTTCTGTGCACTTGATTTGGAAACTGCCTCCTTTCCTTTTACAGCAAGGCAGGGCACCCCTTTAATGCAGCATGGTGAGAGATGGTGCTTTAGGAGGTGCTGCAGGAGACAGTATCAATCTGTCCAAGCAATAAAAGTTGCACCCTCACCCTCTTCCAGTTGCTGTATTCATAACTGGTTTGTTCCTGCTTCTCTTTTAAGAGGGCATTTTCTGTGCCATCATCTTCCAGCTCTTGGAGACAAACAGGTTCCGGCTCTTAACCATGGTCACCAAGAGACGCCCCACATAGTAACCGTTCACCTGGCCTACGCCATCGTTCCTGCCCATTGAAAGCAGGAAGGTTAGTGACCCTGGAAAGAAGACGCAGAGGTTTAAGTTAAGCAATTTCAAAGCTAAGTATCAAACCCTACTACATGTAGGTGTTGCACTTCCTCCAGATCCTCCCTTCCCAACCCCCTCCTCATACCCACACATACTGCTAAGAACAGGACCCATGTGTTGCATGACAAGGAAATAAACAGGCCTAAGAACTACTCACAACTCTCTCCTTTCTACCATCTGCTCTACCTCTTTCATTAATGGGATTGCTGAAGGATTGGGCTGTCTATGTGCATGTAGAATGATTCTTTCCTCCCAAGAGGTAGATGACAAAATTTAAGTAGAAAGACTGGTCAGCCTTTAAAAACCTATCTGCTTTCCAGATATCCTCCATGGAACAGCTTTCAACATAGTTATGGGAAATATTTACATCAGTTGCTTATTAATGAGACCCATCACCTAGCTAGACTTTTGAGACTAGATTGTTCAGTTTGTGTTTGTTGTATAGTTTAAAGGGAGAAGGGAGGAGAGAGTCAAGTCATCTCCATGTTCCTAGGATTCAGTTGGACAGTAAGCAATTTAAAGAAAGGAAATGAGTTTGATGAATAGCAGACGCTCATCAGTAGATTTATCAGAAAGACATTAGTGAAGAAAGGATACACTGTGGTCATAGACTGACAAAGGTCATTAATTTCTACAGTGTCTTTGGCAAGAACTAAGAAGAAGCCTGACCTATAAGCTTATATAGTCAACCCCAGTTGTGGGTTCTTTCACCTCTAATGAGTGTCCCATCCACGTTCTGATGTGTACATGTTAAACAGCTGTTCCTTGCAGAAAAGCAGCCCAACAGCTAAGGCCAGGTGCTAGGAGATTACCTTACCTGGTTCGTAGGTTTTAAGACACTTATTTGTCAGGCTGTTGATGATGTTTGTCACCGCGATGTTGGCATGGAGCCCAGCCTGGTAGGCCATCTTTGGTCCTTTCAGATCTGCGCAGTCCCCAATGGCATAGATGTTGTCATAGCCTTCCAGCTGGAGGTGCTTGTTAACTTTCAAAGCACCGTTACTTGCCAGTTTGTCCCCTGTTTTGCCAAACAGTAAGTTTTCAGAAGGAGTTTTGCGATGCTTGCTGTGACCCGAGACCTTGAAATGCAGATAATGTTATCAAACGTGTCACTGACACAAGGTGAGGGGTTGGTTTTTCTCTCTTTTGTACATGTCAGGGAAGAGATGCTGTTTGCCTTTGCTGGACTCTCATGCAATGAACGATCCTTTGATATTTCAGTAGAAACATCAAGAACATTAAGAGCTGTCGTACACAGCCTGAGAAAGAGACTGTACAACGGTAACACTGCTCCATAGTTGTCGTGCCGTAACTGAAACTGGGCAGTAAGAGGACTCAGACTGAAGGTGTATCACTGAATAACTCATCGACTGAACACCCCGTGACACCGATACGTGATCAAGAACACTGAATGTGCTGAGCCTATTTTTGCTCAGAACTCAGCAAGTTTGTATCTAGGATGAAATCCTGGCCTTCACAGCAGG